GGCTCCATTGAAAAGAAATGTTAGCATCATCCCTTCGTGATCCCGGTTACGACAAGGAGTTTTGTCCTAGTATCAGAGTTACTTTCTTGAGTAACTGTTGTTGGTGCTTGACCGATATTAAGGTGATATTATTTTAGATGACTGTACATATATAATGTTATATTTTATACTTAAAAACTTAGTTATTATTATTATTCTTATATATATATATATATATATATATATTTGTATGTACGAATTATCTAATTTTAATATCTGTTTTTAGTCCACTATGTTATTAATGCAATTTCACTAAATATAGAAATCATGACGAATCATTACAACAACAACGATCATTAAACCCTAAACTTTACACATATACAATTTTAGCAGCTCCTTAAACATGACAATAACTATCCTAACTTGTAAACTTTGGACACTCGAACCTTTCCTTTTTTATCATCCTAAATTCTTAAACATCCCTTTTCAACCTTCGTGTATCGATTTCTTCTCTCCAAGTATGCCGCAAACAGTAGAAAAGAAAAATTACTTGTCACCGTGAAATCAATCTAACAAAGTACCACTGGAACACTAGTGAAGCATTTGCATGACTTGTTCACTAGAAAACACTAGGCATAAAGTTGAATTTGGGGTGGGGGAAGAAAGAACATTAAGTTCAACAATATAATAATAAGGTGATGCGTTGGCAGTCGACGTGGCACCGCGTTTTCTGTCGCATCCCTTTTTACACGAGCGTTTACCAGTTGTTATCCTACGCGCTCACACACACTTTTTTTCTCTAGTCTCTTCCCTTCTTCCCATTCCTTTCAACCTCTCTCTCCACAACAAACAAACCGCGTCCTCCGATCCGACGCCGTTTTAGATGGATTTCGCCCCCCACGATGAACCACCTACCTCGCATATTCGGCCATAGGAAGCAACACCACACCATGAGGAAGGCGCGGAGCAAGCAACAGCCCAAGCTCGAGCGCCGCAACGCCGCCAAGCACTTCGAATACGACGCCGCATCGTCCTCCTCGTCGCACGACTCTTCCTTCTCATCGCCCTCGCCCTACACGCGCTCCATGGAGTTCTACGACCGCACCAGCTTCCGCATCGAGGGCGTCGAGGGCGAGTTCGACCGGATTTGCCGCAGCCTCGGCCTCTCCGGCCCGGAGGACTTCTCCATTCCGGCCGCCGCCTGGGAGGCCATGAAGCTCCGCTCCTCCTCCGACCTCCTCCCGCGCCGCCAGCATCGAGGCGCCGAGGAGGCCGAGGAAGAGGCGAAGGAGGAGGTGCCGGAGAGTGAGGATCGGGTTAGCGTTAGGGTTTCGGACGAGTGTGTCGTTCCCCCTGAGAGTAGTGGTTGCTGCGGTGGGATTAAGGGTTTTCGACCTCCGATGCTGAAGCCGCCGCCGGGGGTTAGGATTTCGGTCGTGGACGATGCCACGTGTTCCACGTGGGATTTGATGCGGGATTTTGCGCCGAAAGGGGAAGGAGGGAAGGGGAGTTACGCGGAGTTGAGTGATTCCGATGATGATCGAGGAGAGAAGGAAAAGGAGGAGGAGGAGGAGGAGGAAGAAGAAAGGGAGGTTGGTGGAGTGAGATTGAAGGGAGAGGAGGAGGAGGAAAACGCGGCGAGGATTGCGGAGATTGTGGATGAGTTTTCTGGGTTTTCTACTTCGAACGAAGATGATACTTCCAGCACTACCACGGGACCTAGGTCTAATAATATATCTCCCAATGCGAGAATCAAGCGTATTATTAGCGCGGGTAATTGGCAGAAGGGTGAGCTTTTGGGGCGTGGCTCGTTTGGCTCTGTGTATGAAGGGATTTCTGAGTAAGTACTTTTGTATCCTTCACTTTATTTTCTTTACTACTTTCTATTATTAGAATCCTCTGTTGTAGCAAGTAGCATTACGATGTTGTGTTAAGAGAGAGAGATCCAGAAACAATTATAGTATTACCATTGCTTGTGTGTAGTAGGAGTCATCTATTTTATTCTCTTTCTCTCGCGGAACTTACTAAAATAGATAGGATATTGATGGTATGGAACGTTAGTTTTAGGATTAGGAGATTGGGAAGGTTGGTTTAAGAATACTGCTGAGGGGGTTTGGATACGAGAATATGTTGGAAAAGCCTCTGCACTTTTATGAATGTCAATGTATCTGTCTAATGGAAGAGGGTAAAGAAATATTCTTGTTTATGTTTTACTACCAATTATGTCTCGAATGCCATTTTCAACATAAATAGTAGCCACTTTTTATGTTGAGCAGAGTAACAAATGGAATGAGCCTGTTGAATTCAATAGGTCAATGTTTGTTGAAATATTAACACAGAAGTTTTCAGTTTGTTTACTAATCATAACTGAGGTTGTTGGGAAAATATCTTAAACGTTAAATAGTTTGTAATGTTTGAACAGAGTAGGAGCGATAGGGTTTATTGAGATGAAAGGAACAATTTATTGTGTTTTGCTGAATGATTTGTACACTTATTATTATTTAATATTTATATATACATTAAGATTGAGTCAATCGACTTAATCCCTAAAATTTAGCAAGTATGATCAACCTATCTAAGTAAACTAAATAAATTAAGTAAATAAGGAATCATGGAAATAGAATCATGATAATGTCTCAACATAATTTTTTTGGGGGTGAATATCTCAACATATAACAGTGCTTTTGAACCCCTTGTACTTTCAGTCCCGATTGTACCACTGGGATTTTTCACCCAACAGTCATCTAGCACACAAGATTAACCATATATAAATATGGTTAATTTTGTTATATAGGTGGTCAAGAGTAAATGAATGTAATTATATATAGTTATTGATATGTGATTAATAGTGTCACGAGGTTATTGAAGTGTTTAGTAGTAGTTAACTTTACCTCACAAGTGGATATTAGTGTCATGAGATTATTGATCATTGCATGTGATTAACTACTTGTGTAAATATGGTTAACTTTGTCTTATAAGTGGTTAAGAGTAAATAATTGTGATTGTATAAAATTATTGATATATGGGCAATAGTGACACGAGGTTATTAAAATGTCTAATGGTAGTTAACTTTACCTTATAAATGGTTAATTGTGTCACAATATAATTGAAATGGCTAATAGTGATTAACATTACCTTATAAATGGTTAATATTAACCATGTTGATAATTATACGCAATCATAGTAAAATGAAATTAATCACATTTATACTCATAATTAACTATGCTCTGGGTAGACGCTGGGTATATATATCTCAATAGGATATTGAACTTTTTCCTTGTACTTTTGACATTTTGTCAACAATATGCTGAAAAAGAGTATGATTAGTGCACCCTTTTTTGCCATGTGTTAGCTCATGCCTTTGCACACTGGGTTGTTGACTTTGATGCTATATGAAAATCATAGTTTTGAAGGGCATGACCTTACTATTGTACTTTTTTCTTTGCCAAATATTCTAGGTTCTTTATAGTAAGGTTACTTTTAATATGCAGCCTGTGAATTGCCCTATTGGGGCTTTTGGTAATATGTTATAAGCCTGTGAATGCTAAAAATATATTTGTCTGTTGCTCATCCTGATTGGGAAATGCATGTGAGCATAATATAAATAGTCTTTTTTTCCTCCTTACCCCTATTGAATGATAGTAAGTTGTTCATCTAGTCACTTAGTGAAATTACCATCTACTATCTTCTATTCAAAATACTTAATCTTTTGTATTTATTTCTCTACAAAGCCCCTGTAATGTAGCAAAGTTCTAAATAAATTGAAGTTTATAGGGTTTGATGTTTGAACCTGCTATTTTTTTTTTTTTTCAAGTTAAGTGCTAACTGCCAGTGTTTTCCTTTTATTATTATTTTCTTATATCTTCTGATTATCACTGCAGAGATGGATTCTTTTTTGCTGTAAAAGAAGTTTCATTACTTGACCAGGGGAATCAGGGAAGGCAAAGTGTATATCAACTGGAACAGGTGAGATGTGATTACTCTTTCTATTTCTTTTTAATTTCTTCATATTTTAGGTGATGTTTGGACTGAGAAAAATGTTTTTATCTTCATTTTATGTTTTTACTTTTAATTACAAAAATAATATTTTGTTTTCATTTTGTTTCTTTTCAAAAGTTTTTTTATAGTATAGTGGAATTTTTTTTTATTGTTTTCTGATCTGTTTCCAAGTTTCGTGTACAAATTTCTGAAAACAGGAAACGGAGTGAAAACATGAAACATTTTCTCAAAACAAATGGCCCCTATAATGTTCCATTAATGAAGGTCCTTTGATGAAAAGGAAAAGGCTCTCTCTTACCCAAATATTATGCCATCTTTTGCTGTACCTTACAATTTCTTTTGAAAGTTGATTAACTGTATTGGTCTATTTACCATATCCTTAATATTTTTCCCTCTATATTTTTTTCTCTCATTCTGCTTCTTCTTTCTCCCTCTCAGGAAATTGCACTTTTGAGTCAGTTTGAACATGAGAATATTGTTCAATACATTGGCACTGAAATGGTACTTTTTTTGTCTTCTCCTTTACCCTTTGTGTTCAGTTGGATAGTTTTTTTTGTCACTTATCATTGTTCAAATTGTATTAAATGTAATTGGTCCTCAGTTCTCACACATCTGAAACATTTTATTGGATGCTTTCAGCATTATAGACAAATTGTAGCTTGAGTCAGGATTACAATATAATGTATGCTTGATAGTGCCTATCTCCTTGAATGAAATATGAGAGTATTTGCATGTCATTTTATATTATATGATGTCATTATAGGCCATAAAATGCCTGATATTTATATCTCAGAGGATCCACAAAACTGTAATTAATGAGAAGGTAAAATAACAGATGCTCTAAAAAAAATGTAAGATATCTGAGTCTGACTACCTGGAAGTCAAGGAGTAAATTAATTTGGTAATATTATGGAATTTTCCAATGAATAAATTATTATCATTGTAAACTTTTTATTTGGGGTGAGTGAGGTTTATCATTTATATTTTTGCATCCAACTGAGTAAAGCATTTAGTTCAATTGAGATATTACTTTTCCTGCATTTGTTTCAACTGCCAGGGTGTTGTGTGTCTGAGTGCAACACAAAGTGACACATAACTGAGCATTATGTGGAATTTGAGGTAGGAACTAGTTTACAATTTAAAATTGTTCACATAAAAAATTAGGAACCAACATTAGGTTTTATGTTGCAAGTCAAAACTTTGGATACTGCGTGATCCCATCAGTTATTCTCATTAGTTATGCTACAATATTCTGGCAGTGTTCAGATTTTGTTTGCTACAAACAAGTTTAGCTGTCATCAACCTATTTGTTTTGTTAGGCTTGTAATTTCATCCTATAACTGATGCCTTGTGAGAACTGTATTTTGTAATTTACATTCTCCATGTTGTTTATTGCAGGATGCATCAAATCTTTATATCTTTATCGAGCTTGTAACCAAAGGTTCCCTTCTAAACCTCTACCGGAGATATAATCTTCGAGATTCTCAAGTATCTGCCTATACAAGACAGATTTTGCATGGTTTAAAATATCTTCACGATCGAAATATTGTTCACAGGTGACCAACTAATTTATTTATTTAATCTTGCTTTCCTGTGCCTGTGATATTGACCTCTTTTGGTTTTCTGATAGACCAGACAAGAATGATGTATACGGTTCTTGTTTACCTTGCATACAAGAAACTTCCATTTTCTGTATCATAATTGCTATATAAATATCCTTGGGTTAAATAAGTTTTTTTTCCTTTAACTGTTACATCATTCAGTTTTTAGTCCCTCCAAATTTTTTTTTGTCCATCTTGAGTCCTTGATTTATTTTCCATCAGCCGTTTAAGCCTTTGATACTACCTAATTCTAATTATAAGCAACATGGGGCAAATCATCAAGACCAAAAAAAGTAATTAATATGGTTACTTTTAATTAATTCTACCATAAATTCAAGTTTTATTCGAAATGTACCCTTTACTTTAAGTAGTTGTCATATTTAATGTTAGTTATAAGTGAATACATGGCAAATAGAGTTAACAATAAATGAAGAGTATAAATTTTTTTTTAATATTGAATAACTTCAAAAATTAATAATTGTTGCTAATAATTAGGACTAAAGAAAACTCCAATTTGTTGCTTATAATTTGTTTCTTTTTATTAGTCTTTGTTTTGAGCATACATCTCTTCAATTTTGTTGTGTGGAATGCATTTTACATATTTTTGGGGACAGGATTCTCTCATCTGGAGTTTACGCATGACCTTGCCTAGTTGCATTGTGAAATTTTTTTTAATGCGTCTCTTGATAGACATTAGATTGGTGAAACCTTCTCAAAATTTGAAAAACATTAAGATACATAGAACATATTTTTCATGTGGCAAGGTCATGCAAAAATTTCACATGAGAGAATCCATTCCTTGTGAGTTGTGAGGACTGAGTGGGTCCATATATTGGGCAATAGAATAGACTAGAGGAGTGGAAAGAAGAAAAGTATACTAGGGACAAATGGGTTTCTCATGCAATTGTCATCCTTGCTATCCTTCTCATACCTCAAACAAACAGTGTTGTCCTTGCTATCCTGATATTTCTATTGTGTAGGGCTTTTAATGTTTTTCCAGTTATTTATTACTTCAGAATTGTTGGATGTAAATTTTCTAAAAATGGGAAATCATTTTTATTCGATATTGGGTAAGGTTAAGCTTAAGAAGTTGAATGATTTGCTAAATCCAAAAGGAAAGATGAGAATTACCCCCAATAAATGAAGTATTTAAGCTCTAGATAGAGTATAAGGACCAATTCCTTTTGTCTTTGGAACTTGAACTGTTTAAACCATACGTGCTGTAAGAGATTACATGCCACATGAGGGTTTAGTGTTGGAAACTTTAATGGCTAGTTTTATTTTATTTTATTTTTTTTTGGTTGTGCTGTACGCTCATTATTTTTGTAACACATTGTTTTCTATAATCTGTATTTCTGTTTCATTTATTTAATGTCATGAAATTATGCGTGTGATTTTACCTAATTATTTCTTCTCAATTAAAGGGATATTAAATGTGCAAATATATTGGTGGATGCAAATGGATCTGTTAAGCTTGCAGATTTTGGATTGGCAAAGGTGACCTCTCTTAGTTTGTCTTTCTTTTGTTTGTCTTTCAAATGTTTATCTTTACATTTTCTAATATTGCTTTATTCCTATTGTTTTTCAGGCAATCAAATTGAATGATGTTAAATCATGCAAGGGAACAGCATTCTGGATGGCCCCAGAGGTTTGCCTTCAATCTTCTCTTCTAATGCAAGTTATGCTTATTTTCAAGAATTCATTACTGCTTTCATGAATGGAAAGAAACATTCCTTTGCCTTTGAACTAGTAAGCTTGAACTTTCTGCGCTTCAGCAGCCTCCATAGTATCCAATAAGTAGAAAGTAAAGAAACTCTGCAATCACAAAATAAACCATCTTTTGGGCTGTGTATTTTGATTTCTTAATGGTATAGCTAGTGCTTATTAAGCTGTACTTCTCTAACATGCAGGTTGTGAAAGGGAAACAAACAGGTTATGGGCTTCCAGCTGATATATGGAGTCTGGGATGCACTGTGTTGGAGATGTTAACCGGCCAAATTCCATACTATCACTTAGAATGTGTATGTGTCGTAATATTACTACTATTTCCATCTCATGATAAGGGTGTTCATATAACCAAACTTTGATTCTCCATTTTACCATGTGTTATCCCTTTTGTCACGAGTGCATCAATATTCATAATTTTAATTCAGATTTTAATTCCAATCTCCCTTTCTAGACATATCAAATGAGAGGACTTTTTTTACATGAGTGAGAAGAATAAATATTGATCATTAGATCTTATCATGAATGATCAAGATTAAAACAGATGAGTAATGTGACTTCTAAAAAGTTCATTACTTTCCTTAGCAATCATATAACTTTAAAAACTTTTAGTCATGACCATCCACATATGGTTGTATGACTTAGATTTCTTTGACTCTTGTAAAATTGAAACATTAAATACATCCACTTTATATATATGTTTGTGTGTTGTTGAATTTCTGCTGGTTTTTTGACTTTTGAACTTTGATGAATCTCTTTGGACAACAGATGCAGGCATTGTTTAGAATTGGAAGAGGTGAGCCACCTCCTGTGCCTGATTCTCTTTCAAAAGATGCAAGGGATTTTATCCTGCAGTGTCTGAAAGTTAATCCAGATGACCGTCCCAGTGCTGCTCAACTCTTAAACCATACCTTTGTCCAAAGGCCACTTTCCCAGTCTTCTGGCTCTGCATCTCCTTATATTCGAAGGGGTTAAACTCGTCACCTCCAACTATGAAACATAATGAAGGTACATATTGTTACATAACATACTATCTCACATGTTTATCTCATTTTATCATGATACCTGAAGACATATTGAAAACTATTGTCATGGTTGTCTATCCCGTCAATAATTTTCATTCATAACTGATAATGTATTTGGTATGGAGACAATTTAAAATGCTTGAAATGAGTTTCAGTCGAATTGGGCGCACATATCGTGCACGAGCCTTCAGTTAAGTTGGGTGGGGTTCAAATATAGTGTCATTCTAATTTGGGGTCAAATATTCACGCTAATAATTAATTTCTGAAGTAAGAGGAGCAAAACCTTTCAAACCGGTCTCTGGTGGAACTCTGAAATGGAAAATTACATTTATGCAAATCGTTGCAGCATTGGTTGATTTTATCTTCACTGGCTTACTTAATTTTTTGTTTTGATGACAGATCTGTCTATCATTGGATATAAAATATTTCCAATGTTCAGTCTTCAAGTTGCTAGAGTTGGTCCGAGGCGCATTGTTGTTGTAACAATAGTTGGTTGTATTGTGCCTTCAGAATTCAGAGGTTGCTTGCTTGTAACTATACTCAATTTTTTAAGCACTGCTTTGGATATAGCAATTGATATGGCACTCCAGAGAGTTAACTTATCGCTTGGCTTGAATATCATATTTGAGAATTATGGTCCACGTATTATTTAATTACTCGTGATGATTTGTCTGTTGTAGCAATTAAAATGCCAAAAATATCAACAAGCTGTAACAGGGTTTCTGAGTCTTCCCCTTTTGTTTAGTTAGCCAATGATAGAATTCTTAGGATAAACCTCCGGGAGCAGTAGCAGTAAGGATTGGATACCATGCTATTTTGTACATATCACTTCCATTAGCAAGAAATGTTTGTGTAAATCTTCATTCCCAAACTAATTCTATTCTCATTTTCATCTTTGTTTCTCCTGTCCTTTCTTGTTTAATGTTCAGTTGCGTATTTAAATTTTAAACAAGCGATGGGTGTTTTATGTTATCTATCATTGGTGGCATAAACAGAGTAAGCAGTGAGTGTTTAATATTACAAGGACACAAGTATAGAACTGTATTCTTCCCTGGATCAACTTTGTTATTGATATCATATTAAGTGAAAGGATGAGTGGAGAGATTCAGGAGCAAATAGCTTGAAACAACTTACATTGAGAAATGAGAATATTCACGGTTCCAATACTCGGGTATTAAGAATAACTGGATGCCAAAAAATCTCATTTTTCTTCAAAGTTCGAACATAGCATCCCCACCTATGCCATCCTACTTTCAAAATCTAAAAAAAGGTGCTAACTGATACGAAAGCAGTTGCCATGGAAAAAGTGACGAATAAAACTGGCCAATCATATGATTGCATGAACATTTACCAGTGGTTAAAAATACATTATTTTTCAATAAAGACATGAATTCGTAAAACATGTTTTGCTAATCAAAAGTATTTTACAAGTCTAGAACAGGTGGGTGCATACGAAACATTGGAAAAAAATAATAATTAAAAAGGTATACAAGTTCGAGGGGTAGTAGAGGGGGACGCTCTGAAATATGCAAATATATGCGCCTTCTTTTATACTTAAAGTTCAACCTTCAACGAGTTATACTTTAAAATACATTATAGGACGGCTTAAACAACCTAATTCTGCATCAATTCAAGAACGGACAAGAATGATTGTTTAAGGAATTTTTCTTATTTTCAAGGGTTAGTTGAGTGAGTACCTGTGATGGGATACAATTGTTTGTGGTTTAAACTTGTGCCATAATTCTCTTAATGAGTTTCACCTTGTAGTTCCATCATGTTATTGACACTGTTGGCTAGTATTGGGTACCTCTCCCTTCTACTACATTACTGAAAGAAAAATACATGGATGGGCGTTTTTTCTCCCATTTTTGCAACCTTCCAAATCTTGGATTAAGAACTACCATGAGATTAATGACAATAGAATCGATTTGTCCAACTGTTTGAAAAAATAATGGATTTAGTAACCACTCTTCTAACTAATCCATTAACGCGTATAACCTTCCCTTTCATCCCCTTGTATGGCCCCAATAAGTTAGGAATATCCATGGCAGAACCGAAAATACAATCTTTCCTTCTACACTTTTTTCCCCCTTTAATATCTGTGCTCAACAGTATTATGCTTAAAATTTCAAGTAAAAGGACTGGCACTAGGAGCAAAGAGACCATAATCAAACATGAAAACGAAATGACGAGTTTCAAGACGATGAAAAAGAGGGGCATCAATATTCAATGAGTTGAAACTATCGACTGCCCCCTGATTTTAATCTTCTTTACAACTCGATTTCTTTGCATGACAATGTTTTCAACATATTCTTCAGTTTCCTCTGCAAACAAATCCAAATCAAAACACACAATCGGGGTTTTATTATGATATTATCATAATGTAACAAAATTAATGAAACAAAACAAGCCACAATGTTCGATCATCAGATATATTACCAAAACCGGGTAACGTTTATTTGCACTCCCCTTATTCTTCTTGGACCCCTTTATCTCTTCGCCCCCTTTGTGTTCCACACATTCATTTGAGGTTGGTGCCATTTGGGTTGAAGGCGAACACATTCGAATCGGTTCAGCCAACAATAACCGGTTCTACCAAAATTTAATAATTAAATAAGACATGTCAACCATTTTTGTTGGAGTTACAATCAAAGTTTTACATTAAAACATGATCATAAACACGAGTTTATAAAGACACAAATGTTACAATGCCTATGTTGACGTGTGTGGAATCCCCGTGCACAACAATTTCCTTATACATTGTTTGAAGAAAACCTAGTTGCAATAGTTGAAAAGAGAGAACTTGCCTTGCTTCTAGGTCGTGAGTGATTACGGGGCAATTGAACTTGATAATTTTTTTGGGACCTTATTGCATTTTCTCTGAGTTGTCTAGAGTAAGCAAGAAGCTGTGCCCTACGATCATAACCTTGTGTTCCTGTAGTAGTTTGTGGCCTTCTGAAACGTGGGTGTGGCTTAGTTTTCTTTGTGGAATCCTCTAATGGTTTAATTGAACGAGTTCTTGATGATTCTACGTAGACTGTGATCACCACTCCGTTTGTGATGGTGCTTTGTTTATTTTGTGATGCCATTAATCTCTTTGGAATGCAATGGGAGTTTCACTCCAATGGGACATCAAATCATGTGTCCTTTTAACGAAGTAAATAAGAGAATTGTGGAGAGTGGAGATTTTGTTTTTTCATTGGGGTTTGTGGTTCTCAGAACACATGGGCGTGAACTTTTTCAGATGATCTCTCTCCCCATTCTTGGATCATGAATTGCTCCGAAAACAATCAGAGATTGAATACCCTCGTAGCAACCACAGATTTTGCAATAAAAAACTTGTACAAGTCAAAATTATGAGAAAGTAAAACTAATAATTAATGATTATTTATTGTTACGGTCAAATTTTATTTTTTTACTCACCTTTACGTACACATGTAAATAATTTAGTTTTTTTTAGGAAATATAATTTCGTTGCTCCAAAACAAGTCTGTTAATTTTAATTTCATTTAATAGTTACCAAATTATTTTATTTACTTATTTACTTTGATTTGTACCAAGTTATTCTCTAATAAATAGTCATAAACTATTTTTTTTTGGAAACATAAATAATATTGAAGTGGATTTTGTTTGTCCCAACAAAATATTCTCCATTTACATGATTAGGGATCAGATATCTAAGAACATGCTTATAGTATCTACCATTTGTTCAGCCTTGTTAATACCAAATCATCTTGTTAACACTATAAAAATTGTTATACAGTAACAAATAGAAAAAAGAAAGAAAGCGTTGATCTTGTCTTAATTAATATAGTTTTCGGTTAATGAAAATTAAGGAAATGATATAATTATTATTACACCATAATAATATTAAAAAATTATTGATTTTAGTGAAATTGAGTTAGAATCTTTTAAGTAATATCTCAAATTATTGATTTGAGTGAAATTGAGGTAGAATCTTTTAAATAATATCTCATATTTAAGTATTGTAAATAAAAAAAATCTAGTTAAAATAAAAAAATTTCATTAAAAGTCATTAACCAAATTTTCATATGAAAATTGGTTCATATGAAATCGGTAAATACTTTATTTTCGTAATTACATGCATTAGAATGATTATTATATTAACCTTATGACACTTATTATAAAAAAAAACTGTTCATTAATATTAATATGACGTTCTTTTAGAGTAAACCCATAATATCTAAATTCATTGTCTAATTTATATTAAATAAAAATTATACTAATGACCATTTTCTTGTTTATGCAATATTCTTTTTTATAGTATAACAAAGTCTGTGTTGGTTTAGACTATATTATGTTTATTAAAAAATAAATTTGTTTGAACTATAAATATTCAGAATATGATGGACGTGTTTTTTTTGGAGCTTTTCTTTAATAGAAGAATTTGTAGGGATTTTTATAATCTCTTATCTAATTTAATTTTTTATTTATCATAATTATTTATTAATTAAATATTAATATTTTAAAATAAATTATCAATTTTTTATTATACAAATTATTTATCATAATTCTAAAATATAATTTTATATGTTTAAAAATATTTATATATAATTATTTTAAATATAACTTATATATTTAAATATAATTTTTTTAATATATAATTTATTATAAATTTTAATTGTATTATATATAATAAACATGTCTATGATCTAAATATTAGTATGAATGATGAGAGATATTCTAACTATCAACTCCAAGAATTAATTTAAATGCAGTGTTATAAAATTTTCAATTTTAATATTGCTTATAAATATTGAAATTTTAAATACATAAAAAACTATTATTTTGATTAATAAAATAATTTTAGCAATTAGAAAGGTCATTTGTTTTGGGGCATGAGATTATAGTATTTTCTATGGATAGAATTTCTACTTCAATAAGATAAAATCACTGTATACAACTATGTTACTGATAGGAATATAATAGCCAGGCCCATAATGTTACCATATTAGGCTAAAGACTACTTAATGGATTAGTGAATATGATGTTGAATTGGGCCTTATTGTAATTGTTTTCCTCCAAGGTCTTTAGACCATTGTAAGGGTATATAACCCTGGGTCACCGTTGAATGAAAGGAAGGAAAATTTTTGAATTTAGATTTTATTAGATTTGTTCTTGTAGACCTAAATTCTCTGTAGTCTCTATCAAATTGGTGCTTTCATTGCTATGGCTCCTAAGCCTAATCGGGATGCGGACCTCAACCGTGATGAGGCCATTACCAACCTCACTTCTCAAATTGCTGATTTACAGGTACAATTGTCCCAACAAACTCAAATTCACGATGAACGTCATGCTGCTTTAACCACTCTTCTGTCCGGGCTGATGGACACCTTCACCCAACAACTGAACACGCCACCCGTAGTTAGTTCCACATCCCTCCCATCATCCCCACCTCTCGCCGTGCCTGGTACCCTTGGCCTAACCGCTCCATTGATTTCCAACCCACCGCCATACAATTCCTTCCCAACATTCTCTACCACTACATCTTCTACCTCACACCTACATAACCCATACGTTCCACCTTTTCCTCACAACAATTTTTTCGCCAATCCCAACCCTAACCCTATCCCATCCACCACTCCCATGGCCAATACTATTTCTTTCCCTTCCACCATCCGCCCTCCCAAGTTACAGCTCTCCTTATTTGATGGTTCTGAACCTTTGGATTGGATTTTCCAAGCTGAACAGTTCTTTTTGTTTTATCAAGTGCCTTGGGAACAACGGGTTCCTATGGTGGCCTTCTATATGAAGGGCGAAGCCTTGAGTTGGTTCAAATGGCTGTATTCTTTGAATCAATTGGGGGATTGGCCATGTTTTAGCCGAGCACTAGAATTACGATTTGGGCCATCTACGTATGAAAATCATCAAGGTACATTATTCAAACTCCAACAATCTGGATCTGTGGGTGAATATCAGGCCTGTTTTGAAAAATTGTGTAACAAAATTGTTGGCTTATCCCATGAAAATTTGTTGAATTGTTTCTTGTCGGGCTTAAGCCCACCCATTGAGCGTGAGCTCAAAATTCTCAAACCTTGCAACCTGACACAGGCTATTGGCATGGCTAAACTGGTGGAGGAAAAATTATCCGACGCTACGCCTAAATTCTCTCGCCCAACCCTCCCCACATCCACGACCTCCCATAACACCCAAGCTCCCAACTGTACCAAATTGCCCTCGCCACCAGATCTTACCCAATCTACCTCCACAAATTCACCAAAAATTCCCATAAAAACCTTATCCACGCAACAAATGCAAGAACGTCGAGCCTTGGGTCTTTGTTATATAACTGTGATGAAAAATTTATGCCCGGTCATCGATGTAACACTCCCAAATTCTTACTTTTATTGTGTGACGAGAAAACCGAAACCTGCCCGTTCTTTATTGACACTCCACCAGCCGATTACAGATTCGATCCGCAACTTTCAGCCACGCACCACTCAAGCAATGACATGTAGCAACCTTGAGGACAAGGTGCTGACTCAACCGGGGGGGCATTGATAGGAATATAATAGCCAGGCCCATAATGTTACCATATTAGGCTAAAGACTACTTAATGGATTAGTGAATATGATGTTGAATTGGGCCTTATTGTAATTGTTTTCCTCCAAGGTCTTTAGACCATTGTAAGGGTATATAACCCTGGGTCACCGCCGAATGAAAGGAAGGAAAATTTCTGAATTTAGATTTTATTAGATTTGTTCTTGTAGACCTAAATTCTCTGTAGTCTCTATCAGTTACCCAATTACATTTTAGAATTCAAAATCGAAATTATTGATTAAGCTAAAAACAACAATGCAAAGTAATCTAACACTCTATGCACTTAATAAGCTATGATCAGGAAAGACTAAAGAAATAAAATAGAGAGAGAGAAAATAGATAAAAAAAAATATAGTAAAAATAAGATAATTTTTTTAAAAGAAGGAAGCATGAGAAAATATATTTAATTAGAAATTATTTTTAAAATTTAATAAATAAGTAATTGTTGTTATCATCATTATTATTATTATTATTATATTTTAATAATGAATGAGTTAAATAAACTTATAAGTGGATAGATGAAATATAAATGCACTGCCTTGCCATATTTAACTGCAATATCAGAATG